TCTATCTATCTATCTATCTATCTATCTATCTATCTATCTATCTATCTATCTATCTATCTATCTATCTAATCCATTTCTCTTCCAGGTACTAACTGCCTGGGGAATGTTCTTGTTGTGTCTCTGGACTGCTTGGCTGACCTTAGATCTTGAGCCACTGATGGCAAACGGTTGTCCAAAGATCAGTGGGGCTTCATGTTTTTGTGCTTGCCGGGGTTATGACAGTCCAAACGTCTGCATGTGCACCAGAAATAGGTGCAGGTGTGATCTTTTCTTGCTAAATATAACAAAGTGAAACATTAACAATGAAACACAAAACAGTTCTAACTCGGCATGACGCAAAAAGAATAAGAAAACATAGTCTTCAACCATGTGACCTTTACTTTCCCCCCCCCCTCTCCGTCCCACCACAGTAGAAGCTTCTCAGCTCTTTATCAAAGGAGGAAAAAACAGAAATCATCTCAGTGGAGAATGATCTATTCATAATATGGACGTTTTCCGTCGGTGGGATTCACCTGATGGAGTTCCCCTCTAATTACCACGTAAAAGGTTAAAGTTCATGGCAGTTCAATGAGAAAATGGCTGAAAAATGTGGCTTCTTTGGAAGGTTCACTCAACAGACACTCAGCATCATTTTACTGTGCAATGTGAAGGTTCCACAGAGACCAAAAGACTGTATCTTTAAAGGATTTTGTTCTAGAACAAATGCAAAAGCACGTTTTAAATAAACTGTAAAGTGAACAAATCTGGAGCAGGATGGACCTCCTGAACTGGAGGTGATACAGATACAGACAATAATTACTTAAAGTTAGCACAGACTGGATTTTTAAAAAATGCTGACAAAGTGTTGTTTCAGTTTGGTTGATTAAATAAATACACAGTTGTGTGATCATCCAATGATTTTTTTATCATGTCATGTAAAACTTTCAAATGTGAAGATGCTGTTTTTTCCAAATTATGTTATTAAGTCATTGAATGTTGACCCTGAAATGAAATAAGAAGTAAATTGCTCAATTGAAATGAATAAAGGTATTTACACTTCTTCATGTTCATTTTAAAGTGGTGGTCATTAAAAAAGACTAAAATTTGCGATGGCTTTTTCAAAACATCCAGGATTGTATAGGTTATATCTTTTATAAAATATGTTGTTATGGCTGTTGATTTTGTTAGCAAAAGTAATTTATTAGTGGAGATAAAGTTGATATGGTACAAATCTGACACGTTTCTAATTGTAAGAGCCAGTTAATGGGGAGTTCATATAGAATAATAATTTAGATTAAAAATGTATAAATATGCTTAATTTACTTTTTGGGGAATTCATGATGAGTATATTTTCTAGAATGTATAAGTTAGTTGATGTAAAATGATGCTTTTATTGTGAAAAGTAATTTGGCTTCCAATACGTAATGCGTAACAATAATATTGCCCGTTTGCACGTTTAAGTTTAGATTGCAGTTCGATACGGTGGAAGCAGCACAATTTTTTGACCGATCTGTACCAAGCCTTTTATTTATTTTATTTTTTCTGCAAGTGTACTTTTTTGAGTTGTTTAAGTAAATATCGTAAAAGAAGACTTGGTTTCAGTCGAGTGATTCAGATATTGGTTGCTAGACAAACTGCAAAGGTGGTACGACAAACTTTTGGGACGCAGAGTGCCACTACACTAATATCTGTGCAAACGGAAACAGCGAGTCAAAGGTTGTGAAACACGGACGGTGATCTGGTGGCGAGTTGTGAGTACCTTATAAAGGATGGTACCGGCAGCAACGCTGTCCTGCTCATCTGAGCTTTTCCTGTCAGCAGCATTCCAGCACTTCCTCCCTTCAGCCGATTAGCTTATCTGCTCCCAGTGTGGCATCAATGGTCAGCCGTCGCCTCTCAAGCAGCGGCTAAAGCAGACCGTCATTTTCCTGTGCTGGGAACCGGAGGGGGGCCGAGGGTCTTCATCCAACCGTCACCTCTCCCAAACAGCTACAGAAGAACACACACCTTTTATTCAGTCAATTGTCAGACACATAATTCTGCAATCACTTCAAACTTCTAGTCATAAACGCATTTTCAGGTGCATTTTTTCTGTTTTATTTCAATGTCCATTCTGTGTCATTTGTATGTTGCCAATTCAGAACCAACTTTGAAGACAGAATAAGGGTGAA